GTTTGATTTTATAATAAATTTTGTAAAATGTCGAGATATTTTTGCGTTCTTTTGTTCTATCTCTTCCACTATCATCTTTGTCAGAGGAATTCTCTTCTGAACTAAGTTCTTCCTCTGCTCTTTCTTCTATTAAGTTACTAGAATTTCTTTGCTTTTTTTCCTTTTTCTTCTTGTGTTTCGACTTAGACGGTAAATTAAGTATTACAGAAGTTGTCTCTTCGTTTTCATTTATATTCTTCGTTACTTCACTGTATGAGCGCTTAGCAGCACTGGAATTCTGATAATCTTGTTTATATGTTACGGAATCTTCTGAAACATTAGCTTGAGTACTTATGACACGTAGTTCTTTGCCGCTTGACAACTCTTGTAAATATACAGACAGTGCTTTCTTATATGACCAGTTATTATCACTCATGATTTTTCTAATATATTTCTCTTTTAAGTACATAGGGCAACTCTTGTCAATAGCCAAATGTTTACCTTTGCAATTAATACAAAAAAAAAAATATTCGTATCGCATTTATCATGATCATCTCCACATTTTGCACATTTAATTTTATTAGTTGGACAAAAACGCTTCATATGACCAAATTTCCAACAAGTTGAACATTGCGATACGGGAAAAATGTATTTTTCTACCTTAAACCGGCACCCATATCCAACGATATGTGGAGGTAAGGTATTACTTTTAAAGCAGAAACGAACTGCTGTACTATCTATCCATTTTCCCATCGCATCCAGTCGTTTTAATCGACGTACAGAGCTTATCTCGTAAATACTTTCAAAAGTTTCCAACATTTCTTTTTCTTCTATGTCTAAATCTATTTCCTTCACTATACCATAGGTAAAATCTAGTTGGGACGTGTATTGACATCTAACGTCTAATTCGGATAATTTTTGACACTTCAGTAATTTTTCGGCATCTAGTTTATATTTTAAAGTTATGAAGCACTTAAAAGGTCCTTTATATTTAATTTTCAAAATATTTGTAATGTTGTCTGCTTTTAGTAATTTTGCCATACCAAACTGTTTAGGAAGTGTTTGTTTAGAAAATAGACATACCTCAAAAAAATCATCGTCGCTTAGACCTTCATCCATATCTATCTCATTATTTTCGTTACTACACTTCGAAAAACTGCGATGTATACGTTTTTTTCGTCTTAATACCGTAGTGAAACCTTCATTATCATCTTCACCTTCTTTACTTTCATCAGAATCGGGTCGGTTACGTTTTTCCACAATTCTCTCGTCGGTATTATTGTCAATAGTGTCATGAGTATCTTCCGTGTTTTGTTCATCCAAATCGTTATAAATTACCTCCTCATTTGCATTGGATAAATAACTATTAGATCTATTAAAACTATCCATTTTCACTAAGTAAATTAAACATGTGGGTAGTTAAAACAATAAAATATAGCACAGTAATAACCACCTACAAACGCGCGTACGCCTCGACAGTCGGGGCGACACTGGTCATGACATTCTATGACATTATATCTACTAGCGGATATCTATTCATATTGAACAAGATATTTTTATGTATAATTACTAATTATATATATAAAACTCTTCAACGCATAGTGTAAATTTTTTTTTTTTTATTATATCTGCCTGATGATGAATTTCAGATAAAGAAAGTAAATCTAATTACAATTAGGAATCTTGATTGATTCGACTAAAAAATAACAACAATAATAAATTCGCGCTCGACTAAATCTAGAGTGTCCGTCCACCTGTCGTCGTATGTTCTAGTATCTCTTGGATGCCGTTATTTTGAGTCATCAATTTTTGGAAATAATTGGGACATCCTTTCCGAAAATAATAGCTGTATCCATGCCGATTGTGTAACTACAAGTAGGTAATTGTATGGACTTTACTAGGGGATTGTACCCGTAACAACTGATAAATATTTTTCTTTCTTTCTTTCTTCTTTCTTTCTTTCTTTTTTTCTTCTTTCTTTCTTTCTTTATTCTTTCTTTCTTTCATATAATCACCGTTTAATGAAACTATACTTCACTACGTAGCTAATATGTATGTGCTACTATATACCTGCCACAGTCAATCTACAATTGCTCTATACATAATCCCACACTAAGTTAATAACCAGCCAACGATGTAGTAGGCAATGTTATATGAAATTGTCCCCTCTAATTACCCCTATTTGCACCTCCAAATTTGCCCGTTACAATTTAATATTCATTACATTTACAATTAGGTTTGTTTCCGTTTGCAAATTAAAATCAGATTTATTATTTGAAGCTCAATGTGAACATTTGTATTCGTGTGTCAACTACTTTATTATTAGTTTATTACCCATATATATGTATGATTAAGCTACCACTTTTTGTAACTTTTCTTTACCTAATAAGCCTGTCTGTAAGGAATTACTTGCTAGCGATAAGACCACCGCCTTTTGAAAATGAAAATCTCAAGCCAGTATAATTCTTGTATCGTTGCTTGCTTACTCTAGTGATACCCAAAATAAAATAGTTAAGAAGAAGTAAGCGTAATAACAGATAAAAATAGCGATTTTGCTTTAGGTAATCTATCTGCAGATTATTATTACATTATATGGGAAACCTTCGAGTGATCTGACCGGCTTATTACACATAGGCTTCCAGACTTTGGCAACTGTTGAAGTTGATCAAAGTCATTTTATGTTTGTAATCAATAAATAAATAATACATCTATACATATAAATAAAATTGGAATGTCGGTGTGTAATATTGAAATAATCGTTTTTTACTACATGCATATGAATATAAATACGATACATACACCAAAATAACATTTTTACATTTTTTGTCTGTATGTCTGTTTGTATGTTTATTCCAGCTAATCTCTGAAATGCCTGGACCGAATTTGACGGGACTTTTATTGGCAGGTAACTGATGTAATAAGGAGTAACTTAGCTTAGTTTTATTTTATAAAAATAAGGTTTCCACGCGGATGAAGTCGCGGCTGCAGCTAGTTGTCAAATAAATCTCTTCGAAACTCATACAAGACCATAATTAAGTCATACAACAGATTGAAATCCAATACAACAGTAATATATTAATTATATTTACTTATAGAAACTGCTATGCTCGATATTTATTCAACGTACTCATTAAAATTAAAACATTTTCTGAGAAAATCATATATTAAATAATCATTAACAATGTTTAATTGACATCTAAGTAGTAACTAAAATAAAATTATTCGTTCTTCGAATTTCTATAACATGGCACTAATTTACATAAATTTGAGACATTTAAAGCCTTTCTGAACTTACAAATTTAATAAAATGAGAAAGATTTTCAAATGTAATTCTGAAATTTAAAATTAGCCAATGAAACTAAATGTTTAAAGCGAGAAACGTTCCTTTTTCAAATTATTTAGTTCTACGAATTTACATTTAAATTTTGAAAATATGTAAAACTTTCATTTTGTAATTGTTGAATTTCGGAGAAGAACATGTAAGAATTGATGTCGTTACATCAGAAATAACATTGTAAAATACGGTGTTATCTTAATCTTTCACAAACAAATTGTTAATACCCTATTATTCCACACTCTCATTACTTAATCATGAAATTGTAACAGGTAGACAGCTAGAAAAGGTTTACCCTTTATATATTGGTGAGAGGTAAAGTTAGGAAATAAAATCTTTGAGGCAAACTTACCCTTTTCTATTGTTTAGTAAAACCTTTTCATTTATTACCCTGGTATGTACCTATCGGATCCCTAATCGCTCTATAGCCGGGTATTACAAAGAGTGAAAACACCTATGGGGTTTACACAGCCCCTATTAACTAAGTGTGAACATTAATTCAAAGATTAGTGAGTATATAGTATTATTATTAAACGAAAGTCCTACTAGTATCTTTTTTCATCCCTTTAGGTACACAACTATCTGTAAATATACCTAAATTGTATGTAGGAGAGAACTGGCTTTCGTGTCACACGTTTACCTATATCGAAAGCCAGGGTTTTTTGTATTGAATTGTACTGTATATTGATGAACAAAAGATTATTATTATTCTAAATTTAAAAGTCTATAAGTTTATTACTCTATTATCATTAAATGGCTGTATGAATTCAATTGGATTTGACCGTATAGATAGATCATAATATGCATAACATGTGAGTCAAATAAAAATGTGTTGTTCATAGACATTTAGGCGATGATTACCACCATGTCATCAGGTAATCAATCAGTCTGTTTGCCATTTCTATCACATAAAAAAAAGCTTAAATTGTTCGTCTGTTTTTTTTAAATTATGATGGAATGATGATCCAGCCTATGTCAAAGTTATACGGATGAAAGAATGGGGATGAAACAAGGTCACGATTTATTACGGTTAATCAGGCTTAATGTACTGGGAGCCGAGTGAAAGTCGAACAGACAGGGTCCATTACTACTAATGGGGCCCATGATGCCCATTAGTTCCTTCGAGGGTTGGAAAATTGAAATGTTTGCACGTAAATTGATGCAGAATTGACCGATTGATCTATTAATACACAACTGACAATTCTAAATTTAAAATTTAGAATAGGCGTTCTTTTTATAAAATTCACTAAAAAGGTCCGTCAACTCTTTCAAAACGGCATAAAATGGAATTTAATCGTCAAAGACGCTGTAAAAATTCTCATCAAATATAATTATTATTGAATAAATATTTACTAATGGAAATTACGGTTATAATTATAATATAAAGTATATTACAGAGTTTTCCCAAATAGTTTATACAAATAACACTTTCATATACCTACCTACCATAACTAATAGAAATCTTAATATAAACCCACAAACAGCAAAACATTTTTTCCTTCACGACATAAATTCCAGACTTAAATTCTAAAAATTACTGGTTATAATATAAATAGTTTTATTTATTTGTCTGCTATTTTACTATACAGCATTTCACCGATTGAACTTGTATATTATTGTATAGGTATATATATATACATATATCCAAAAATACACCATTACATAAGTAGGTATACAAAACACTTACGTGATGCACATTGTCGAATCCACTTCAAGTGTAAATCATAAGTGCATAACTCACTTTCACCGACACCACACCACACTTTCAGTTATCACTTCTCACTTGTGATACAAACACGTTTGAAATTCGAACACTTGCGTTTATTATTTGCTGTGGAAGCGGAAAAATTGTGAAGAACGACGTCTCCCCCCCAAGGGTTGGTTATGACTGAGTGCGGGGTGCGGGAGGGGCGCGGGGGTAGGGGCCTCGGCGCCGCGCAGGCGAGTTACCCTCAACCCTCAACCCTCCATAACATAGAATCGGGACCGACTACTTTTCTGTTTTCGTATGTACTTAACTATAATGTTGATTTTTATAAAAATATTATGCTCTCCCTCGACAAATCTGTCGTTTGTACTTTTAAATAACTTATTTGTAGTTATTATTTTTTATATTGCGGCACTACGTACTAGTTTAGTTTGTTACTTTAAATATTTTAGACTTTAAAACATAAATTTCTACTTTTATGTAAGTTTGTTTTGTCACTCGCACCGCATTATGCGCGTAATATGTCATTATAAGTACATAAATACATAAAGCACCAGATTTAAAAAAAATAACAATTTTAAATTTAGAATTATCAAATAATTCACTGTCTATAATTATAGACCGATTTCCAATCTATTTAATTTTAACATAAAGAACAAAACAATGCTTTCAAACCAAAAATGGAACAATAGAGTTCTTCATTCAAATATTAAATTAACTTGCAGTTAAGAAAAAAAAATATCTTCCTAGCTACTTGTCAAGGTCTCAATTGAGAACAATATTTAATTTCAATCTCCTTTCAAATTATTTGAAGCGTAGTGATAAGATTACTACGTTTAATTTATCTATTACAATTCGAAATATAAACAACTGAAGTCTGAATCGATCGATTTGATTTTCGAATAGGGCCAGAGGTGACGTCATTATTTATGTTGTGGAATATCAGACCCTCTGCCTTGCGTGAGGAAGATTTATATTTCGTAATTGGATTTAGAATGGGTGAGCGAATAAGAAATGAATTTATTATTCTATTATAATGTAATATCAATTAAATGAACTGACTTGTTATTATTATATTCTCGTTTCTACTGTTCTCTCATTATGTTATTCTATTGACTTGTTATTCTACACGAGGGAAGCGGTATCAATGGTGCTAGGATTTTAGGCGAACGATTTTCGTTCCATTTTCGCGGCTATTAAATTACTTGTATAAATTATAAAAGCATTGATGTACTCGGTGCTTTAGAGCTTTAGCACACTGCCTTACTTCCGATGGTCGCAGGTTCGATTCCTCGCATGACACAAACATTTGTATTCATGAGTATGATTGTTTGTTTAGATATATTCAGTATCTTTAGTTATAAGTATTTCTATCACCGTATAGTCTAAGTGGATCCCGACGCAGTAAGTTTAATAACATAATTGTGTCTAGTTTTACAAAGAACTTTATACATCAATATATAATAGTTGCCGTAATTAATATTTGAAACTCTTTTGACAATTCCTGGTAAATTTCCCATAATGGACAATATGAATATTTCACTCCCAACATAAAACTTAATTTGTTGGTACACCATTACTATTAAAAAAGTCAGTAAAAACCCTACCTGAAAATAATTTCGTTTCTATATTAAATACAACTACAAAGTCGTGATTGTTTCTGTTATTTGTATTTCATATTTACATATGCTATTTTTGTCGAACTGAGGATTGTCAGCAATCCGGACGGAAGCAGAGATTTTTTTTTATTTTGATCCTATGTGTGTCGATAAAAATGGAAATATTTATTTAAACCCTTCAATTACTGGCTGAAACGAACGCTATAATTCTATAATCTTTTATTCAAGATTGTATGAAATCCTTCCGTTTGAATTAAGAATTCGAAATTCGAATCGCGGGAAAAATTTAAATTATTTCCAATCTTTGAAGTATTCCAATGTCGTAATAAGACACAGGGCGCGAAATCACTCCGCTTTAATTTAGCTCCATCCAAAAATCTATATCTCTCGAACGAAATCAAATTAAAAATTTAATCAAATTAAATTAAAATACAAAACGAAATACGATAACAGGATGGAGCGTACTTGTAGATACTTTTGTTCAGCGCTATCGATCTTTTTGACACGAGTGGGTTTGTGAGTCGTCTCGATCGGCTTCCATGTTTAGTGCTACTGAATAATTTAGTATATTAAAAATATTATTAATATTCTGTAATTCCTTAAAAGAATTTGCAATGCCTATTAGAAAATGTAATACGTGATTTCATTTTTTATAATAATATCCAACGATTTCCTTTGACGTATACAGACGATATGAAATTCATTTTTAATTTAACTTTTATTATTATTTGTAAATATCTATTTTCGTATTTTACTTGTACGCTTGTATCTACTTACTTTGAAGGTATTACTTTTGTAAATTTATCGTCAATTTCATTTATATGTCTTCCGATTTCACCCAGCTTTTAAATTAAAAGAAATCCTATAATGATACAAATATATAAATTAATTTTAAGTATTTCAACGTATACAGTTCTACCTGTGGTAAGAATTTGTTATCACTTAGATTTACTACTGACTCTTTCTTTATGCTCGTCTTCAGAGGATCGTAGCGCAATCTTAAATATCCCAAAATATTATTTAAGAAACAAGCCAATAAAAACTAAGGACATTTTTCAAATTCAAATGGTAGTTCCAAAATGGCGACAAAACAAAAACGTACCGTATTATTTTACAGTACAGAAAAAAAAATTATCATGTTATATCACATAAGAAACATAAGATAAATTATGTATTAACTTAAATTTTATTCACATTTGAAGAAAATTACAGCTTTTCAACTTCCAAAACATAATTATATGAAAGTCATTATAGCACATAAGAATTCTCAGATATACTTCGCAAACCTACTTCGAGAAATTTAAGTAAACAAAGCTCAATAGTCAGAAATTAGAGATAAAATAACACGACACTGAATACAGTCAATCTGTATTCACTTTCTTGTTGCGAACGCTTTTGAATATTAAGTGTTTTTCAACGGCAATTTACAGGAATATTCCTCTTATAAAGTTGCTTGCTGGACTTAGCAGTTTAATATTCGGTTTTATTTCGAACTCCGGTCTTCATTAAGGCCCTCATTAGCAGCAGAAAATAGTTTTGTATCAACCTGTTTAGGTGCACAGTTAATATTTCTGTTTCACAGTATGACTAACTTATCTGTGGACGGACGAAGTAGGCGGGAAAGTGGGTTGCTATTTTAAAAATAAATGTTATCCGCGGTCATAAAATTTCATTCATTTCTTTATGCCTGTATAATTGAAGTGTATATATGTAAAATAAGTATGTAGGTATCAACCTACATACTTATTTTACTTAGTAATTACATAGTATAACACTTTATAATTATGTATTCGAAATGCGTACATAATAATACACAATAATATAATTTATTATTTTTACAAATGTTGCCAGTTCAAAAAAATTTATCTTTTGTTAGTGTGTATCTACAGTTATTTGTGAGCTTTGAGCGTATTTCGCGGCGTAATATATTTTAACAAAACATTTTAAATAATATATACATATATATAAATAAAAATATATTCATAAACAATATATGTGTACTTGACTTATTATTAATAATACTGCACAACTTACTGCCATTTGATTACCTAGCCAATGAAGCTTCAACTATTATGTACTCTCCTTTTAATTTTGTAATCTTGTGGTTGTACAAATAAAGCATTATTATTATTATTAATAATACAAGAATAATAACAACCCAGAATAACTCACACAGCGCAATCTAGTCCCAAGAGTTATTGTTCTAGATAACTAATACAAATATTTACCTAATATTCTATTTGCAAATACAGACCTAATATACATAGAATACATCCAGGCCTTCGATAATCATACTTATGTACACAACAAATGTTTGTACCGTACGAAGAATCGAACTCGTGGCCATAGAATTAAAAGCGGTATGCTAAACCGCTAGACTGCAGTCCACCGAGCCTGTCACATCAATATTAATATATAACTAGAAATATATTTTATAATATTGAAGCTGACTGAAGTTGTTTTTCATATATTATATTTGTACCATCAATAATTATTCTGGTAGAAAATGAGGCAAATCAAATCAAATCAAATTATCTTTATTCATGTAGGTCTATTATAGGCTCTTATGATATGTCAAATTTATCGTCAGTTCGAAGTGCTTTCGAGCTAAGAAGTACTGACAAGAAACTCAGCTCGTATTCTTTTCAAATAAGTTGATACATGTTACAATAATACTGATTCTTTTTTAAATTCAAATTTAGGAGAATAGAGTAGCCATCAACATATGCATAAGGAAATAATATCAGTGCATATCCGTACTTTGTTCTCGAAAGGTCTAGAACCGTTGACCTATATCAAAGTATATAGAACAATGTAGATTAGTAGTCAGGGGGCGAAATGCAACCATAATTTATAACATTCACTAAACATAATTAAATTAAACTATTGTCAATTTGACCACAGACTTCAACAAGAGAGTATGTATGCTCGAGTATATATCAAATGCATGGTAGTTTGGGTAAGGTTTTTTATTGATTTAATGTATTTTTTAGTCACAAATTTACGAAAAGCATTCAGAACTTCTTTCTCTAAATAAACTAAATAATAAGTGTCCGAAATTGTATACTCCTTCGTCCGCGAAATTTTCGTAAAAAGGCGTACAAAGTTTTTGCTTCATGTATTAATATATAGATATACTGCAGTTTCCTGTTTGTACAATATTGATATAATTATTATCGTTTTCTTAACAAACAATATATCTAATGTCAACAGCAATATTAGCACAAACCCTTATTGTTTCAAAATATTTACTGATGTAATCCGACGGGGAAAATATATTGAGTTAAGATATTACAATTGCAATATACATTGAACGAAATATCATTGTGACGGAGAGACAAAATGTATAAAATAAACGTTATTATTATAATAATTATAAAATGTTAAGTAAATACTTCATATATATTTCAGAACAATTACT